AGGTCACATTCTCATTTAAGATCAGTGACCTTTTTTGACCTTGTGAAGGCCAAGGTGACCAAAATAACGCAAGTTTGTCTTGAGTTTTGCACTTAACTAAGCGACAAAGATTACGCTAGGCAGCATGTTCCTAAAACGAAATGTTGACCCGGGTCATTTTAGGCCAATGACCTATTCTGACCTCTAAGAAGTTCATGGAAGATGTACAATGCGGTCCCTGATGTCAATAAACTCGAAATGAGCACCAAAAACTATCCCATACAGCAAGCCCTAGAGTCACAATTCAGGCTAGTTTTGACCTTGGTGTGATGTTCATATCTGACCTTAGGTCAATGTCATTTGCTCATTGAACTGTTGTCTCGCATAAGAAAGCATATCAGAGATGTATGGCTTCGTCTAACACTTCGTTGTTGGTTCAGATTGAAGGATTCCCTAGAAATTGCCCTCGCTGAAACCATGGCCTGACTTTGAGCTTCCAGGCTTCCGTTTATGTACGCTTTTCTCGGCGTATTAACAGACAACTTTACTTGCAGTTTTCCATAAAGCTGCCCTTAGCTGACACGTATTTTCTTTCCGCTATTTCCCACTGAACTGGCAGCCGGGTGTAACTCGTTCTTCGTCACAGTGGCAGTGAAACGCAGAGCCGAACGGTGCACGTCATCAAGACAGCTGTAGAAAGCATAACAGCCTAGGCACCTATTGCCGTGATGGAATGCAACGAGCAGAAATGTGTTTCATGCCAAACGACATCGCTGAGCACGTTTTTCACTCAAAACGGACGGCATTGAGCCAGGCTCTCCATACGCTAAATGACAATTATACAGTTCCATGGAATATTCGGTGCAAGTGTTCGAAATGATAGAATAATTATTCGAGCTAATGTACTCGTCAATCCCGTGTTATTCACATAGCGTTTCGACAGCTGCTCCACCGGCCGTTGTCAGGTCAGTGGCGGGAAAAGTTCGGGGACGTCCGTGAATTACATTACGCATGGAGGGGGGAGCTAGAGGGAGAGAAGGGATTAATGGTACGTAACCAAAGTGTAACAAGCAAAGGGAACGGGGTCTGGACTGGTAACTTTACGACTAGGTGGATTTGCATATCACGCTAAAATATTTCACGGTATTGTTAAACGCTAAATCCGGATATCGCCGTCTTTCTTTGAAAACGAGAAATACACGTCCGATATTTGTTTCGCATCTCTAGTTCAGCTTGGGGCCAAACGGAGGTTACTTTTCGGGACGATACGCTTAACAACATTAACAGGGAGGTGAACTTTCCGCCAGCGTAATCAGCGCGTAGTCAGTATGGAAGGAATTGTAGATGGTCAGCAATGCGAAACATAATTTATGGATGATCTCTTAGCCAAAAAGATAACATAGGGTAAAGATATTCTGTTAAGCGAAAACAGAAATTAGATTCAAGGTAAGCGGTTAAAACGTTAGAAAAGTCAACGGATCGTGGTTGCGGGTAATGCGTAAACTTCTCAAATCATTTTCTAGTATGACATTGAATCGCAGCTTCGTCAACATCTCCGAAGGGTGGAAATGGTCGAATTTCGTTGTCTGCTGTCCAATCATCAGCTCTATAAGCCATATGGTAAGATATGAGTGTGTGAGCTTTGAAATTCGATACTATTGTACGACAAGGTTCGGCCTGTTCCTTTACGTCATGCACAATAATCCTATCGTAGCAACACTAGAATTCGTTGGCCTTGACTAAATACGTGGAGCGATTCTCGACAACGTCTATATTCTATTTGCCTCTGCTATTATGTACCCGGTGCAAGCGATTCATAACTTCCTTATATACAGAATTATCGTAAATTTAATTGAGCTATTAAAAGTGTATTTTGATGGCACGAATATACATGTCCTTCGCAGTAAAAATTACTGTGCAAGAGGGCTCACACAGCCCTTGATATCTTGAAAAGTACTGTGCCCATCATAAAAAGCGAAACAATGCTCGATTACTCCCGGCAAGATCTACATTTCTAAGAACAGAAACGCCCAACCACAACAATGGCAGCGCAGCGCATATAATGTCAACTTAGTCTGCAATGCCACGAAAATTTCTTGCATACATATCACAAGAAGCAGCTGTGGCATTCAGATATCGATGCATATGCCAGAAGGAACAGCTGATGAATTATCACAATTAATTATCGGGTTCAGAAGCCATAAGCTTCAGAAGTTATATCAAAATACGGTGTATATGCTTAAGAAAGTTTTTCGTTTCTCATGATGCAACGTAAAATAATAGTCGGTTACCCGAAGGTGGTGTGACAGTACTTGAAATGAAGCGCAATTGCATCGTTCATAGCTGAAAATAGTTGTTTGTGGTCGTAAAATATCAATCTCGTTTATTATAATGTGCCGTCATTGAAATCAATTTAGCAAAAGTGACGTTCACAGGGCTTAGATTAGGGTATTTCAAAAGGCAGCAGCCACGCCAGCCCCATATTGTCAACATTAGCTTTCCTTATGTTCACCATGTTTTCCCCACATCTCATATCCCCAAAATCTCGAATCCCCACGCGTTAAGTTACGTTAAGAAGGCCCATACATCACATCTGTGAAGGCTAATCCTCCAAACCAACAGAAGCAGATCAAATAAAATAAGAAATAGGCAAACAGAAAGGGTCTGAGACCTTTTGTCGCTGCTTTTGGGCTTTGAGGGCATATCTGTCGCATCGGTTATTGCGTCCGGGTCTTTGAGTTACCAGGCAAAAATTTAGCTGAAGTTAACGACGTCGTTAGCTGTGGTCAGCATTGAAAATGTCATTAGCTGCTAATGCAAAACAACAAATAGTTCATGAACTAATCAACAGATTAACGGCAACATTCCAGGGCTTGTCGTTGTATGTCCTCCGGCGAAGACGGGCGTTTGACGCATGATCATGTATGTACCACAATCCCGAAGGCCTTCGAGACGTGACGCGCCGCGGGCGATTGTCCTTGATATTATGGGAGGTGCGACCTTGGTCTAATAAATTTCAAAATCGTGAGGTTGAAGCTCGGAGATTCCGAGGACTTTCGTTTCTGCGACATTTATTTGTTTTTCGTTGCGACTAAGGAAATCAATGTCTCTTGGCCGTGCCATTGACGAAATTGGATCTTCCTCTCGCCAGTTAATACCAATGAACTTGGCTTTGCTGCAGATGACAAAACTAGCTTGTGGGACAATGTAGAACCTGTCCCTCAAGCCCCATTGACAGCGATCAGTTCTCCCAGCAGTGGATATGGATGGCAACACTGAACAAACCGGATGGTAACACTGCACAAATGGCATCACAACGGATGCCAGCTATTCAATGGCATGAGCCTGATTATAGTCATCGCTGGGGCTCCGGCAGGGTTCGTGAGGGCCCTGGTTTTTTGGTGCTCGGGACCCACCAGGCTTTAAGAATCTGATTTATGGCTATGGAGTACATTAGATATTTGGTGCTCAAATAGCCCTGAGCACGCTGCTCTACAAAGAAATGTCCGAGTCGACAACGTATTCCTTCATCTTATGTGACAATGCTGGGAACCGTCACCGTCACCCGGCCGTCAGCCGTCACTCAGCTCAAGCTGTGACGTCCTCAACTGAGGACAGAACAAATCACCCCAGCAAAACTGTTCGTCAATGCACCGAAGAGCGCTTTCGTTCTGGGTTCCCAGAAGTACCATCTAAAGCTCTCAAGAGTTGGTGCCATTGGGAAAATTAAATTCGCTCCTTACTTTGTCAAACAAGGCTAGCAGGGCCGACAGCATATTCTTGCAAAGATTTCTTTGTCGGGCGGAAAAGATCCTGCATTTATCTAACCAATGCATTTGCGGCTACTCTGCTCACGGATTCAGCGTGATTGCAAGGGAAGCCGTCTAGTTATAAGGAATGCTGTGAATGTTTGAAATCTCGGCAACAACGATACAAGTACTCAGCGGACTGTGCCGGCTGAGTTGGCAAGGCATTTGCCCTATTGGCCGACAGCTTGTGGTTTGTGTTTTACGTGACTCCGAAAGACCTCAACATAACTAAAAGTTTCATGTGTACACTAATCTCACCCATTTTCATCACATTGTTTTCTGGTAAGATGCTGGAGGAAGAAGAAGACACGTCATGAAAAAATGAAGTGAAATGGATGCCCCAGACGGCAGGTAAACGGTTGTATTGTTGTGCTCCACGTCTCTTTAACGGTCGGAAATATCTAAGCAGTGTGCTTGCCAAAAACGCTATTTTGAATCATGACATTTTCCAAGCGCGCTATGATTGCGATGGAGTCGAGGTAGTCATTTTTAAATTAAAGACAATTCATGTACCGTACTTTGAGGTTTGTTATGTACATCCCATGCCCAAATGCCCACCGAATTACAGTGCTGGCCTCTAGATTACCTAAGGCAGCAAATAACGTAACTTCCATGTGAACAGCGTTCTTTGTCAACACAGGCTCAGCCTCAACCCAATCGGTCTCAGCGGATTCCGAGCCTCACTCCTGTCATGAGAACTGTTTTAGTACAGCCAGGCTCATCCACCATACAGGACCCCATCGATACCCGTCTGGGAGTATTGGTTTCTCTCCGTCCACAAAGTCTGCACCGCTCAACCCGCCTAGCAACGGCACTCGAACCGCTCTCCAGCCGAGGCAGGCAGCGCATTCTCAAACAGCTCTGCAAATCCCACGGAAAGGCGCTCGACCCATCTCATCAAAAGCCTTTTCTTCCACCAACGCTTGACCTTTCACCCTTCACCCGACGTCCCCAAACCACCGCTACGTCAGAGCGGCCTGGAGAATGTGGAGCCGGCTCGGGCCGGGTGCTCTCCCCCAGGGTGCCGTCCCGTCGTGGGGCCGGATGCCGGTGGCGACCTCTAGAGAGCGGCGGGCCGCCACCACCTGCCGGCCGGCGGACCGGCGGGCGGGCGGGCGGGCGCGCGTCGGCGATATTGATCGGACCGACGCGCCGGCGCGCCGTCTGGTGGCCGCGCCGCGCAGCCGGCAGCGCCCCTCGCCGCGCCGCCGCCGCCGCCCGACCCCGGGTCACCGCAGTGCACAGCGCCCTGTGCACGCGACCGCCCCAGGCGCCGTGTCAAGACGTGTGCACAGTGCAGGCGGTCGCCAGTGCGCCGCGTTCTGCCGCAGGCGGCGCCCGCACGCCGAGTGCAATGGCCGTGTGAAAGTGCGTGGCGGCGTAGATCAATAGTGCGTACTATGAAGCGGGCCGGCAGCACGGCGGGCGACGGCCGCGGCGCCGCCCGCGGGCCGCACCGGCTCCGCTAAGATGCTGTCCAGATTACCCAGGTGGGTACTCCGCCGCCGGCCACCAGCGGCGGTGCCGGGATGGCCGCGGTCGTGGGGGGTTCGTCACGTGACGTAGCGATGGTTTAGGGGCGGCGTGATCACCATGTGTGCGGCATCCCTGCACGAGGCATTTTGCTGCGAAGGTCGTTGATCAAGACAACCGTTGGAGCTTGGTGATGCATTTAAAACGGGCAAACTCAGCACCAATATGTCTCCCTGAACTGGGATGGAGACACAGACTGATATAGCCAACTCCCTTATAAAAAGCACGACCATGCCGCATGCCTGCCTTATTCATCCCTCTGCGTCCTCGGCCCTCTGATAACGATCTGACCCGGTGTTGGGGAGATTGCAAAGCTCACCCTCTGCCCTTGGTCGAGGCTAATTGGCCGCACCAATAGGGCGCGTGGGCAGTATTACTGCTCGGCGGAGTACCGGTCCCAGGCGGCCAACCCGTGTGGGACGGCGCCGCTCAATGCCTACGAACAAGGGGAAAGGCATCCGACAACGAGGTCATGCGAGGCACGCAACGGGATTGTCAACAACGTGAACGGCCTTGTCAGGTAGCACACCAGCTGCACATAACTATACCGCCAGCTGACCAATGGAAAGCAAGCGGAACGGACTTCGGCTCTCCTTGAAAAGTACGGAACAGTTTTAAGAGGTTGAATTGTGCTGTTGAACGGGATTAGCTGAAAACCATCCGGGGCACTAGCGATTGTTTATGAACACTCACACTGGTCGCTTTGTCTCGTATGGTTGAAGCTGTACATGCCGCACTTAATTCCTAACACGTGCATGAATCGAGCAGATGTTATTTTCACATAGTGTGGCAAGAGGCCGACAACTCCTGTAGTCATTATCATGCATGGCTCTAATCGAGCTGAGAATCATGCGCCAGGGTGCTGCTATGGCTGGATGAGATCTGTCATGTCCCTGTTGTGCCAGGGTGCTGCTATGGCTGGATGAGATCTGTCATGTCCCTGTTGTGCCAGGGTGCTGCTATGGCTGGATGAGATCTGTCATGTCCCTGTTGTGCCAGGGTGCTACTATGGCTGGATGAGATCTGTCATGTCCCTGTTGTGCCAGGGTGCTGCTATGGCTGGGTGAGATCTGTCATGTCCCTGTTGTGCCAGGGTGCTGCTATGGCTGGGTGAGATCTGTCATGTCCCTGTTGTGCCAGGGTGCTGCTATGGCTGGATGAGATCTGTCATGTCCCTGTTGTGCCAGGGTGCTGCTATGGCTGGATGAGATCTGTCATGTCCCTGTTGTGCCAGGGTGCTGCTATGGCTGGATGAGATCTGTCATGTCCCTGTTTGCGCCAGGGTGCTGCTATGGCTGGATGAGATCTGTCATGTCCCTGTTGTGCCAGGGTGCTGCTATGGCTGGATGAGATCTGTCATGTCCCTGTTGTGCCAGGGTGCTGCTATGGCTGGATGAGATCTGTCATGTCCCTGTTGCGCCAGGGTGCTGCTATGGCTGGATGAGATCTGTCATGTCCCTGTTGTGCCAGGGTGCTGCTATGGCTGGATGAGATCTGTCATGTCCCTGTTGTGCCAGGGTGCTGCTATGGCTGGATGAGATCTGTCATGTCCCTGTTGTGCCAGGGTGCTGCTATGGCTGGATGAGATCTGTCATGTCCCTGTTGTGCCAGGGTGCTGCTATGGCTGGATGAGATCTGTCATGTCCCTGGTTGATATTCTTTTCGACACGGAGAGCTCTGCGTCAGGCCCTCGAACATGGTGCAGCGTCCAATCACTTTAGCAGAGGTTGGTGATGCTCATAGGCTTGGTGTAATCTGTATTTTTTGTTGCCATTTTACTTCATGGCTATCTGATGTCATTCAAGTGTCCTGCGCGGCGCGGGATAAGCCAGGCGATCACCGACGCGATCAACACAGCTATAGTTAGCAATTATAATTTAACTAATGTCAGGAGCTAAGGTAATGGACGCAGACACCATTGGTGTCCCTTGTATTGGGTCGGATCAAAACGTCGAAAGGCTCGCCTGCCGTCATTCAGACGTGAGTACTATGTTTTTTGACAATGTTCGAATGCTTGTTGAAAGTCTACTTTTCGCTGAAACCAAAACTTTGTCTGTCGGGCGCACGTGGGCGGCCACCTCCTCCGTCGCCCCGAGCGGCACCTCTGGGATAAGATGGCAGATGATTTGGGATCCGGAGCTTCAACTGCTTGCCTGATTGTGCTTGCCAACCTCTCGCATAAAATGCCTGATTGATCAAATCCACATCCTCTTTACTGGCCTTGGCTTGGGAGTGCAGGGGAGGGGGTCATCTCTCGTAGCAAAAACTGGTACGTCGGTCTCTTCAAGTAGCTGCAGCGTCTCACGTGCCTAATGTGTGCTGGTGACATCTGACCAGAAGACATTCTCGTCATTACCATATTTGGTTGCTAGAAAAGATAAAAGCCTCATGTTTGCACTTCTGACGGCATGCTGGCCCGCCTCATTGTTTTTGCCGGGCATGACCACCAGCTGGGTGATCGTGCACGATATCATCCCCCATCACGATCATCTACGTGTGCTAATTGGGAGCAACACCAGCAGCTTGCGTGGGCATATGCTCCCTGCCCTGAGTGTTACGTAAGGAGGAACATATATTCCAGCGAGTGTATAAAACCGCGTGTTTCCCTGGATTTGAGTGCCAGGTGGATGAAATATGGTTCATCGTCCATTAATGTCCTTGGCCTGTCACCTGGACATCGGTCCTCAAGACAAGATACCAATGTGAGTCTTCTTACACCTTTTTATCTCCAGAGACTCCCCGTGTCTTTGTTCGCTTTCTGCACTGCAGTTCATGCGACAACGCTTCGCTAGCAGGTGCGGCGATGTTCCGACTCTATCCTAGGGGCCTTCACCGGACGCCGTCTGAGCCCTGGCGTCACTTTTAAAATGCTTCCGGCGTTCTTCGGTGCACCGAGCACGCTGTCTAATCTCCAGATACGGTTTTGGAACGCCAGGGTTGCAGCAAATCAATTGTGTGTTAAACGAGGCCATTCTCTTAACACGCGCCTGGGTGGCCACTTGGATACCCTTCGCTCGGGTGGGGGATCAATTTGACCTCCGCTGAGATCTAAAAAACTAAGAGAGCTAGAGACACAAAGTTCACAGGGTGTGTCGACCTGTGCGCGAATCCACTTCGATCAAAGTTTGTGGTTCCTAGGCCATGATCTTCGGGTCAAATTTTGGTCAAACGATGTCAAATTCCAGGTTGGTTTCCAAAGAGCCCCTATGACCCAGATAGCTGTTCTAAGCAAAAGGCCATATGCTCATTTACTCAGTGACTTTCCTTGACCTTTTGAAAGCCATGGTGACGAAAATAAGGCAAGACTGCTTTGCGTTGGGTATTTGAATAAGTGACAAAGATTACGTTAGGCAGTGTGTTCCTACAAACAAAATGCTGACCTGAGTCGTTCAGGTCAGTGACCTATTCTGATCTTTACGAAGTACACGGAAGGTGTATAAGGCGGTTCCTGTTAACAATAAATTTGAAATGAGCGCTAGAAACTACCCCATATAGTAGGCCCTAGCGTAATAAAATAATTTGACCTTGGCCTTGGTCTTACCTTCATACCAGATCCTAGGTCAATGTAATTTGTTCATTCAATTGTTGTGTTGCTTAAAAAGCATCTCAGAGATTTATAGGTCTGACTTTGACCTGCCATAGGTCAGCGACCTTATGAGGCACATCTAAGAGTTGGGGCCAGACGATTCGCTATTTAATTGTCTATAGCTATGCAAAATATGGCGCGACTACCCCGTGCTGTTCGGAAACCATTGCGGAAAATCTTCGGGGGGTCAATTTAACCCCCTCCGAGTGCGTGTTAATATCAAGACGACAGAGAGAAGGCAGGGGCCTACTTCTTACACAACTTGTCCAGACTTTTTCCACCGCCTGACCTGGCGAACTCGTGATCCCACGCGTACAGTCTTTGCTTCAGGAAAGAGGAAAAAATTCGTCGAGCAAGTAAAATTCAACTGTTGTTTGACAGGGAGAGATCCACAGTCGGTTGGAAATTGGAAGAAAGGTCTAAGGCTGGTTGAATGCAGAATTGGCCACAGCTGGCAATTCTAATTAAGGCAATCGATTAGTTCGCAAATGCCACGGTTTGGCAGCGGTAAACCAAGCACTTTTAAAACGAAAACATGTCTGGTGGATATTGGTTACGGATGAGCGGAACTCTACGTCTGTATAATCATCACGGCCCAATTTTTAATTAGGTGTCATGCCTGCTGTCTGGTGTTTCAGCTAGCCTCCTGCTGCCTGACGTCGCCCGATGGTCGCCGCGCCACGCTTCAGGAGACGGGTCAGGCACAAACTCCGGGTATCCAGGGCAGCCATGCTCTGCTGCGGACGAAAAAAGGTCAGTCTCGAGCAGCGCCGGAGCGTCACACAGCACACGTCAGAAAGATGCGCCTGGTTGGGTTTTACTCATTCGTTGTCTACGCTTAAGTTTGTCGTAGTCCCCTTTTAATCCTGTCATATTTCCCAATGTTTCATTTCTGACAACGTGCGGACACATAAAGCCTTTATACACAAGCTATCTCTAGAAGCGCTGAACTAGCTGTCAAACATCTGCATCCTTGTGATCCAGCTCATCAAATATGGTTTGTAAATTGCAAAGTTTGATGAAGACATGCAGCAAACATATTATATTTGTCCAGAACCGCGAGTTATTTGTTTGAGCAGAACAGCAATCATAGTCCTCCAGGAGTTTTCGAAGCTAAGCCAAGCGGATATGCTGCACGAATAGCAGAGATAAAAAAGCTTACGCCTGTCTCCCACAAAATACAAATGTTCTAAACTGTCCCCTTAGCCCTCGCCCTGATCCGCCGTTTTTTCATAACGCGGTCTGATAGAGGGAGGGGCGAAGGTTGATGCGAACCCTACCCGCTGGTGATTCTGGACTAATAAAGATAGAACTTAACAAAAATGCCAATGAATAAGTCTCAATGAGATCTCGCGATTGGTACTAGCTATTGTGTTGTTAGTTTAATAATTAATCCCAATACGGCAGGTCAAAGGTCAAACTTTCCAAAGAATCGCACTTTTTAGCTTTGCATCGTACCTATGAGACCATGTCTCGTGGGGATACGAAACTTAAAGAGGTGTGTTCTTGTTTAATTCTGGGTACGATGCGGTATATTTGCATGCGTTTGGAGCATATATGTGTGATATATGATTCCGCTAATGTAAGTGTACCGGCCAGCCGCGCACATTCGGCGGCATCGTCGGTTGCCGCCCGCCGCCCTGCATCGGCCGTAGATCTCCGTGAAGTGTTCTTCAAATCCGCCACTGCTCCGACAGCAAGGATGCTAGGAACACGTTTCTGGTGTCCAAACACGCGCAATGAATGCTCCATAGTCTACATAAAATTTTAGCACGATTGCAAAGCATCTCAGAGAGGTATTCTAAAAGCCTTCAGGGGCGGATCCCGTCCCCTCCCTTTCACGGCAAGGGTTTACATGGTTTACAGTCAGAAAAAGGAAGTCAGATTCAAGATGTGTTGCTCGTTGATTTTTATATTCAAGTACATTATATCTACTAAGGCCGTTTTGGGGATTAATTTGCAGTTCCTTCCTGTCAGCCAATAAGCCTATGATAATACCAAAAGAGGAGTGGGCCTATGATGATACCAAAAAGAGGAGTGGTTTCAAGGACTGTTTTTTATTTATGTCACTGAAAAATGAGTGTGGCAGTTCCCTGCCCCCCTTCCTCTCCCCCCCCCCTCCTTGCCTCACATAAGCAATATTCCCATAGCATACTGATATTGTGTTCTAGGCATCCATATTGTATAAAAAAACTTCCAAAGAAGGTATTTCTTGCCTGAATGAAGGCACCAGGAGGCCGCACATGATATCTTTTCTTCTCATGAGACACCAGCTTAATCCGTCGAAGGGGAATAACTTTCAGACAATCAGTCCACAAGCTATGACAAAGATGTCAGGAAGATGTTAAGCCTAAAGGCATCCTGCATCTAGCACCGAAGCATGGGATATGTCCTCTTCCCAATTGAGGGCTATGCTTTACATAGCATGCTCCATCATATGATTTATCAGAAAACGTAGATCAATAGGAAACACATCCACAAAATTTCCTAAAAGCTCAACACAAAAATATTTCTGAAATTAGCATCTTTAGTTTACTTTCAGAGCTTTAGTTTACTTTTCTTTAAATTAAATTTTGTCTATGCATACTTGAGTATATCACATTTCTGGTAACAGCTTTTCCTAATTGGCAAATAATAGCAAATATGCCAAAGTGATGCATCACCCGGCCTGAATCATGCCCCAAAATCAATATTACCTTGCTTCCTCTGTGGCACTACCTGTCAGACAACTGTTCTCGAGATGGAAATCTCAATGGACTTCAAACACTTTGCCGCCATATGCTGAATTTATCCCCACAAGACGTAAAGCAATCGCAGAATGGAATTTCGCTCAAGTACTGTCCGAATAAAATATTGTAAAATCTGGCCAAGTTCCTATGCTTTTTCAAACGTCAAATACATGATTTTTCAATGGTGATGCCCAATACTGAGGCCTGGCGCTGAAATGCTACTAACAGGTGTAAATTGCAGTGAACTGAACGTTTTCACTTCACAACAGAATAAATTTTCAGATATTCGTCTAGATATTCAGTCCCATGACCCATTCACAGCCATATACTGTTGGACAGGCATCTATGCAAAATTGTGTATGCCCTATCTACATGGTTCGAGCCAGGGTATATAGGAAGTCAGCACCCACTCACACTCACATTACTCACCGACCGAGTGTTACATTTAAACTTATCCTCACTCAGCAGCTCCTCACAATCCCCCTTGGAAAACATACACGGGGGCACGAAACCGGATGATTGGTAATGCTCAATGCCGTGATCCCGCATTTTACGCCAAACCATCCCACTCTGACAGGAAGGAAGTTAGATACTAGTTGGTAATGACGTCATATATTTTTTAATCACTTTTTCTGCTTCATGCCGTTTTTTGTCAACAAGAAGGAGTTTCAAGTGACACTAATGAATTGAAATATTAATTTGACTTCTACGGTGAACAAGGCTGGTGCGCAAATTCAGCTTGAAAGTTACATGACGTCACATAGAGCTCATGTGATGAGTTTGCGTCTTCGGTGAGCGACCACCTTTTTGCTCTGAAGAGGTAGCGCAGTAAGCACGGGGGGGGGGGGAATATTGTAAACTGAACTAAATTACCCTTCAAAAAATGAGAGATAGTGGAGTGTGCTCAGAAATTGCCCACAAACTGTCTACCCCACACGGCGGTACAGAAAAAAGTCTATGCCACTGAAGCATATTTTCTTCTTTCAGTGTTGAAGTGCGCGGAATTCCATCACAATCAACATTTGGTGAAAAAATATGTTCAATCAAACTTTGACAATGAGAGCGCTTTTTCAGTCTCTTTTCATGCAGGGCGGGGATTCTATCAGTCTCACACGTTTATGAGGAGTGGGCTTTTTCCGTGATGAATGCATCACCCGCGCTGACCAAACTATGGGATCACGCTTATCTAGTCTGTTAACCGAATAACAGCGGAAATTGCCGTGGAAAGCCAATTTGAATTCAGTTAAACATTCATTAGTGAGCTTCCCTTAATGGCGTAAGACAATCGCGCTGATCGCACATGCGTTATCATGCAGATGCTGGTAACACATTAGCACATGGAGTCCGTCGTCTTTGGGAACCTGCGCAGATCGTTTTGATCTAATAATAAGCTAAGCATTGTGGTTCCAAAAACGTCTAGTTCGATCAACAACAAACTCAAAACATCCAGAATATTGTCCTTTCGCATTTCATTTTCAGCATTAAGGACTTCGAATAAAGTGATATAATTTTAAAAGTGCTACTCTACACCACCATACGGCTTTTCTAAAAACAAAGCTTTATTTAGCTATAAAACTATAAAAAGAAAAATCGTAGTAGCAAGAAAATTGTTGCAATGGATCAGAAAAATGGTCCGAGTTTCTTCAAGTGTTTGCCCACGCTTATCCCTTTCATAGGCCAATGCTTCTCATTTAATGTCCCGTATCTTTATGGCTGCTCAGATCTGACATTACTATCGAAAGTGCTTTAAAACCGTCGGGTCTGTGGCTGGCGTTCGAGAGCGGGGCACCCGATCCGTACATCGAACCGCGTGTTTGTTTGCTGGTGTAAAACAGTTAGCAGCTCTCCCCATCGTCGGACGTTGATGGTTTGTGGTGTAAAACAGTCGGCAGCTCTCCCCGTCGTCGGACGTTGTTGGTGCTATGTCGTTGCGACTCCAGATTGCGGAGATTTGGACATTGCTTTTCTCCGTGTCCTGCCTTGTCACAATTTGCAAATTTTACGGTTCTTGTCGTAATTGAGTCGGGGCGATGAGATTGGGATGGCATTCAATGTTGCATAAAAGTCCACCTCGATTAACACGGTGTATGCACGCATCTTGAAAACATTACAGCATAACCTTTGGAGAGCTACGATCCTTGTTGAAAACTGCATGGCGATATTGGTATTGGTCAGGTTACAGAGATGCGCCTGTTAAAAGCTTGGCAATCCGGGTCGGGCAGAGCCACCCGCTGAAGCTACACAATTTCCGGTTAATTTGCGTTTAGACAAGCCCAGTCTGCGGCCTCGCCCGTAATATGTGATGCCACTTGGATGAGGCTTCCTGTATCACAGCATTCCATAAAACCCATTTCAACTTAGTGGGCGATTCTCGCTTTGACTTTCAAGCCCTGTGGCACCGAGGAGTTGTAACGTGCGATGCGACACATGACACGGCCGTTCCGTGTCAGTCTCATGCTCTTGGCCAGGACGTCTTTGATGAGTCACGTAGCCATCACCTCTGTTACACGAACCCACGTGTCTGCCAGGCATAGTGGTCCTAATGAGGATATGAAGATAGAAATAGCCCGGTGTTCTGGCTAGCCGAGACACTGGGCGGTGACGTCCTAGATGGCGCCGCCACTTGTCGCATGTGCTTTCTCCGGTTCACGACAAAAAAATCGAAGTAGAAAAGGACTATGTAGAAAAAATGCACTTATCTTCCTTAACACCTTTGTCTTTCGACTATCAGCCCTGTCGACTTTCATTCTTGATGGCATTTTGTATCTCGACTTTTTCCTTGACTTTTTTCCATTTGGCTTTTTACCATTCGACATTTTCCATTTGACCTTCTCAACGGACGCCAATTATCTTTGCCACCACGGAAATTGGATGCCTTATATGGCAGTTGAATCCACATGTGCAGTGATGCGTACTGAAGCCATTGTGTTTATCATTCGCCGTGAGAGACCAGCAAACTGGCAAATGTACAACAGTGACCGTTAATGAAGTGGGCCTTGCGCATTTGTAACACCGGAATGACAC